TTTTTTCTGGAGGGTACATGAGGTCCTTGATTTCTTATCTGATTTACCCGATCTATTTTTTATGAGTAATTCATTTTTGAAACTTTTTTTTTTTTAAGTGTGTGATTAAAACGGGAATCATTTGCTCTGATAGAGAAATAAGTAATTAGAAGATCCTTCATGGACTTTTTTGATGAACATCTTTTAGTTTCGCCATGTATTTAGTTTATTTGCGAAATCCTTATTTAGAAAAGTTTTCAAAGATATACTTTGTATCTTTCTTAATGCTTCTCTTTTGAAAGCTGCGTGGTAAGACTACCAAAAACTTCAGTCTGATTTTTTTAAATTTCTCATTACTTATCGTTTATTTATTTATTTTTTCAGATTGGCCTGGTTATAACAGAGTTTGACATTTGTTTCTTGGTATGTATTATCCTTTTCGCAATATTCACATTTCCCTTTGGTTTACTATTCCTGTGCTGCATTCCTTGTACGATTCATAAGCGATGCAGCAGTTGTCGTCGTGTTGTTTGATCGAATATAGATGGTTTATGCTGAGCTTCATAGCGAAGACCTCGTCTTAGAAATCATGACCATAATTCGACATTTATAATTGTGCCGCTGAGCTCGTCTTTTCCATTACTTTTTATAAAGTTAATGATTATAAAACATATCTATTGGCTCATTTTTGCAATGTCAGTGTTACTTCTCGCAAATCATTTCTTTGCTTATGAAGTTTAGAATTGGGATTTCTTGTCTCAAACAAATTGCAAGGCAGTTTTGCGCGTTGTAATTGACATCCGAATCTTGTTTCGTCTGTGACTCGGTAGTTTCCATGCACGGGTGTTTGTCTATTTTTCAGCAGGAGTTTTCACCTTCATTGATTTTGAATTGTTCGCAGTGAAGAAGGGTGTAATTTTCCATCTCTGTGATTTTTTTACTGTAGTATGTTTCGAGGTTCAATTTTTAGTCCGTCTTTCAACAAAGAATTGTGGAATGAGCTTTTTTTTCACCTTTGGTGGGCCGTTACTGAAGGTTCTTGTCGCAGGTGAGATGCTTATTCTTAGTAAATTGGTCCACCATGTTACTCTACCTTTTTTTAACTCTGTCCCTTGTTTTTCGGTTTTGTTTCCTGATGCTAAATGTGTATCTGCTTCTGTGGCCTTTCGATACAAAAATGTTTACCTAGTGTTGCGAGAGTTGTCTTATCATGACTTCCACAACTTACACCATTCCTTATCTCTCTGGAAATGTTCACATTATGTAAGTAAAACTCTGTACTTTACTTTGCAGCTCACATTTCTTTATCAGCTATTCGCTCTCTAAAGTTGACATCTCTACTCAAAAAATAGGCCTCGTGGCTTTTTTTGACAAGCTTAGTAGGTGCTAAAGATGATTTAGCAAGTGCTTTTCTCCTCCTGAACTTTGACTTTTGGAGCTTCTTTGACCTTTCGACGATGGGAACTGCACAGGTAACTGACTTCCTTGATTCAGACACCAGCAAGTTGGTAAGCATTCGTGGCAGTGGTTTCTACAGACAGAAGCTGGAAGTGATAGATTTATAGCCGGTTCCCGCTCGTGCTGACCATACTTCACTGTCTACGGCGGGCTTTATTGTGGGAATTCTGGTAAGCTAGTCTAACACAGCTAGGGAACACAATGATTTTATAACAACAAAATAAGAAAATGAACGAGGCAACTATTTAACCCAACTTCTTAATATCACATTAGTGAACTCTTCTGGCGAGCCGAGTTCTGTAAACACTTCGACAAAAGCTATCACCATTAGTACTAGAAGCCTAAATCTTGGTTGTAGTTATAGGACCCAAGCAGTTTTAGTCAGGCAACTGCTCGTGGCTAACTGAGTAACCGGAGTCACGAAGCCTTCTTCAACAATTCGGACAGCTAACATTTGGAGTACATCTTTGGAATATTGTATTGTAATAGTACTGGTGTGGACAACTAAACTGCACGGGAATCCCATCTATACATACCGTATACCGATTATCCTGAGTGGC